CTCACCCCCTTGTCACTTAAACTATATTTTCCTTTATTACCTTATTTCTTTAAATTTTACTTTTTCATAATTTTGATTGGATGCTATAAAAAGTTTTTGTTAAAAGAAATAAATTCTAAATATTGCTATAATATTTTAAATATAATAAGATATTAAAAGAAATAAATTCTAAAAATTGCTATAATATTTTAAATATAATAAGATATGATTTTTTTCTTAGGAACATTATATATTTTGCAAATCCACCTGACAAATAATTAATAGATCAACAGATATAAATATATTTTCAATATAATTTAGTAAAATATGATTTGTTTTCTTAAGAAAGTTATATATTTTGCAAATCCACCTGACAAATAATTAATAGATCAACAGATATAAATATATTTTCAATATAATTTAGTAAAATATGATTTGTTTTCTTAAGAAAGTTATATATTTTGCAAATCCACCTGACATATAATTAATAAATCAACATATATAGATACGTTTTCAAATCATTTAATTAAGTTTAATTTAGTTCAGTTTCCCTAATTTTTTAATTTTTTTTATAATCTTAACATTTATACTATATTAACTTTAAAAGATTAAAATAATATTATCATAATATTGAAATCACAATAAATTTGACATAAAATGTTTAAAGCTTAGATTTCCCTTTTTTCCTTTAGTATTTAATCAATTTTAATTTGTTCATTTTTTTAAATGAAAATTCAATTTTTGCAAAATATGATTAAGATAAGATCATTTTGTGCAAGAAGATGATAAAAAAAAATAATAATAATAAAAAATACTTCTTTTAAACTAAAACAATCTAACTGTGTCTAAATTAAATTATAAAAAGGCAAAGAACAAAACAAATATAATTTAAAATTTAGCATAATAGATAAGAATAAAATGAAAACTTTATGCTTATACGGGAGGAACCTGTAAATTTTAAAATATGAGGGGTATCTGTGGATTTCTAAACCTCGTGACAATTTATTCTTATCCAATTTTTATTTTCTTTTGTTATAATAGTTGCCCAATATTTTACATTATTATACAAGCCCCAACAAAATTGTATTTCCGCTCCCTCTTTTTTCTTAGATTTTGATAGCTGAATTTATCTCTGCAAATCATGTTTTTCAGTGGGCAGATTTGTGCAGACAGTTCTTAAAGGAAGCGCAATGGAGTTGCAATAAACATATACCTACTTTTGACGAGTATCTTAATATGGGATGGTTATCATCATCTGGACCACTTTTACTTGTTCATGCCTACTTTCTAATGAATAAAAATATTACAAATGAAGAGATAGAATGCTTCAACGATTACCCTGCTCTCTTACGCTACCCATCCACAATTTTTCGCCTTTGCAATGATTTAAGTTCCTCAAAGGTATGTTTCCTTTTAGATCACTTTCTTAGGGGATAACAGTACTTTATCAAGAGGATTAGTGCTGATATAAATTTTTTACTGTACCAGGCCGAGATTGAGAGAGGTGAAACTGCCAATGCAATTTCATGTTACATGCATGAAAAAAGTGTTTCTGAGGAAGTTGCCCGTGAATACATTAAGAGTTTGATAGATGAGAATTGGAAGATGATAAATAAAGAATTGGTTTCAAATTCCATTTTCAGCAAGTCCTTTATTGAAATAGCCATAAACCTTGCTCAAATAGCGCAATGTCACTACCAGTATGGCAACGCTCACAGTGATCCAAATGACATAACGAGAAACCGAGTTTTGTCAGTTATTATTGAGCCCATTCAATTGACACAGCCATATAGGAACTTAAAACTGTCCGTAAATTAAGAGAAAAGATTGTTAACTTAAAGAAGTGTAACTAGTTTATATATTATAAGGTTCATAAGGATGATTATTGAACAGAGGTGGTAGATAAAGTGATAAGGACGTAGCTGGTTCAACCCTCACCGAGAGGATGCTACTTGCTGAGTTATACTCAAGTCGAGGGTGGGTATTAATCAATTTGCTTCAAAACGACTTCATGTTACAAAATCTGTATTGAACTTTTTGTAAGTAAAAGTGTTCTCTTGTTGGGAATATATACAAATACTATAATGAATATTGATTATAATGATCTCCTTATGCATTACTATTACTGGTCGTAGTGTAAAATATTTTCTTGCACTTTTATAATAACATGTAATACGAAGAGTAAGAACGCAGAAAAAGATTGAAGATGACTTCAACGCCCCTTCTTTGAAAACAAAACTGAGTTACACTGCTAGAAAAACACTGTCCGAAGCCCTAACTGACCCTCACAATAGAGGGTGGGACCACTTTTTTCTTGCAATTGTTTATTCATGTGGGGCTCAGTGTTTGTGAGAGGCGGTCAAAGCTTTTGTCATCCTCTTTGTTGGTAGGGAGGCTTTTTCTATAAAACAACTGCCTCAAACAAAGGACCAAATGCTACCTATAACTCAACATTATGAATGAAAATACCTATTTATGTCAAAAGGTTAAGGGAACTTATTGATAAGGTTTTTGAGAAGTCAAAAGCTACTTCTAAGACTAAGAAAGCTATTTTTAACACGTTTGGATACTTTTTTCTAAGTGTTTTGTTTGACCACAAGAGCTTGTAGAGGAAACTCACCTAAGATAATTTTTAAAGAAGTCTTCTACAAGAAGTAAAGATGAAAGCAAAATCCAAAATTGTTCTTAAAATTAATTAAACTAAAGCACTGCATACTTAAAATTATAAAGGAACTGAACAACATCAGGACTATGCGTACAGTCTGGAAGTGTTTTCCCGTGTGAGTCCTTAGCTACTGCCCTCTTCACTTGCTTGCTTCGGTTGCTCGCTCACGGCATAATAAGCTAAGGCTTGTACATGGACATCATCCTTCCCTAAAAATAAGATTCGTACTTGAATCAATGCAGCAGCAATCGTCATAATAAGTCTCCCAAGTACGGAAAGAGATGTTTGACATTGAACACATTAGCAATTCATGTGGATGGGGAGCTTGAGGCGATAAGCCTTTGGGTTTCAATAATCTCCATGGCCCCGATTTTTTGAGGCAATAACTTATTGTACTCATGCGAAGTAGACACAAGATTATCAGAGATGGGTTCGTTCTTGTGAGCATGCTGTCAAGGAGATATCAGAATGATGAAGTACAACTGGAGAATGCCTATGTTCGTTATTACATGATGTAGATCGAACAATAATTATTGTTGGAACAACAAAGCGGATTCATAGTTGCATAAAATTCAGAATGAAGTAACCTGCATATGGAAATTATCTATTGATTTAGCAGTTCGAAGATTTTATTACTTTTTGACAATTTTAGATTGTTTATTTTGATTAAGTTTTTGCCTACCGTATACTAGGATTTTTACTGTGGTTTATAATTTTTTTAATTTTTTATTATAGAATATGATTTTCTTTTGTTGTACAAATAAGAGAACTTGAATCTTTTGAAAAATGTAATTTAGGCTTGTTTGATTCTCATTCTTCCCAAAATACATTTTTTTTCTCTTCTTTCAACAAAACATTATTCATTAAAGTAATATTATACGTAAATCAAATTTTTTCCCTATTTTCCAACAACATATTTCCCATCGATCTACTATTCGAAAATGCATTTTTCATAAAAATGGGGCTCAAACACCCTCTAATGAAATATTGAAACACTTATTGTTCTTAACTATGTTCAAATTCCCGTTACTCTAGGAAATCAACGAGTTTTTAATGCCTAACTATCTAAAATTCGCGAGTGAATAAATATGAATTAGAAGATTATTCGTGATTCATATATTATCACGCTTCCGTGCTCACTAACCTATATCACGTGTGTAGCTCCGAGCTAATTAAGAAACAGGCTTTCACAATTATTCTTTTAACTCAAACTACAATGTTGGGCCTATAGTTTAGCCACTCAAGACATTGAGTGGATATTAAATGAACATACAAAATATAAGGGTTTATGTTAGTTCTCTTAACAAGATTGATCCTTACTCCTTAAAGATGAAACTTAATTGAATTCAAATGAGAAATTCGATCGGACTCATATTTAAGCAAGTACATATATTCAAAATTAATCTGCTCAAACGAGCCACAATTTTCTAGAGGATGGCGGGTTAAGTGTAAATATCCCACATTATGAAATATATGTTTCAACATCTATGGGTTGAGCTTCATTTCTTTCTTTTTTTATTAAACAAGGTTGACCTTTTAAAAAAACAAGTTTAGGGTTTTGTCATCCCAAATTCGACATGATTAAGGCCTGCATAACAGTGGGATTACATCCTGTTGGAAAAATTTAAGCTTTAAGGACCAACTTGAAATTTCATTAAGGAACAACTGTGTGTTTAACAGGTAAAAACATAATTTTTTGAGTACAAAAATATCATTAGGCATTTCATATCAGTCTAATACCTGATTTCACATGCAATTCAAGTAAATCATAATGAGAAGAGAACTAAGGGAAGCAGAGGTGGACTTGAATATGTCACGGGTGCTTCATGTTATTCACCTTCATCAATTACTACACCCAAAATGTTGCTAAAGAGATCCCCACCCCTACTATTCATGATGGTCTACCCTGGGCCATAAATTATTCAGAATCAGTTCTTTGACCCTCAACAATGTAAATATTATTCCAAATCTAATTTAATTAAAAGGACAATTTTCACTGGAATTTTATTTTAGATTGTACAATCTACCATGATTTTTTTCAATTTGATCATACAACTCTTTTTTTAAATAAAAAATAATCGTTAGTGTCACGTGACTTATGGAATGCTTCACTTCGATACTTATGTTGTGACTAGAACTGAGAAACTGAAATTGAACCTAACCGACCCAATCTAATCTGTTTAGCCTGTGGGAAAATGGCCACTCTATCCATAGGTAGCTTATTACTAGCAGCGTCAACAATGGGAAATCATGTGATAAAAGTGGCATATCTTAATTATATAACAAAACCAATTTGCTTTCCGAAATACGTTGGGTTTTCTTCCTTTTAACCAAAGGTAACACGTTATGTAAATTTCTAATTAGTTCAAATACCAAAAGGCTGCATTTGTACAAAGCCTGAGCCACTACTAAAGCCTAAATAAGCTCAAATGTGCTCTGATCAACAATCATGGCAAGCATAATCCGCGATCGTGAGGACTCCGACTACTACGAATTCAGCAGCTGCTCTTCCATCACGGTGCCAGATTCCACCCGGAGTTGGCTGAGCAGCCTCAGCTTCGGCAGCCACCGGAGTTCCACCTCTGCCTCCCTTTCATCCTCCTCTGACATCCCTTTTTCTAGCAAGCCACACAAGGCAAATCAAACAGCTTGGGAAACAATGAGGTTGCTCCACCGTGAGAAAGGCCAAGTAGGGCTGGAACACTTTAAACTGATCCGCCGGCTAGGCGGTGGTGATATCGGAAATGTGTATCTTTGTCAGATGAGAAACCCTGTTGACGGTTTACAGCAGTGTTTATATTCCATTAAAGTGGTGGATAGGGAAGCTCTTGCCATAAGAAAAAAGCTTCAAAGAGCAGAAATGGAGAAAGAGATTTTGTGTATGCTTGATCATCCATTTTTACCAACTCTATATGCACAGTTTGATGCATCTCATTACTCTTGCTTGGTTATGGAGTTTTGCCCCGGTGGAGATTTGCAAGCCGCCCGGCAACGCCAGCCAGGGAAGCGTTTCAGCATTTCATCTGCCAAGTAAGTTTCTAATTTTTTCACATTTGTTATAAATTTCTGACTTTGTGTAGTTTCTTCTTATGCTTGCTCGAAGACTAAGACTTACCTAAAAGTTTCTTAAAAACGTACTTATATAAGCTAATTTACAATCATATTGCTCCCTATTATCTAAAGTTTAAACCCTTGAAAATAGAACAAACTTTCTTATTTTTAATATGTCTTCAACACAAGCTTCTTACGTGCTGAACATATTTAGTAGAGTGTTGGGTTTTTTGATACTCAATAATCCGGGCGATGATTTAAAAAGTTGTCGAATTATTTATCGACACCATGGACTTGGCTCGGCTCGGAGACGAACTACACTTTTGGACGGTTCAGGTTTGGGTTGGATGATTATTTGGTTAGTTAGACCATTTAGTGATTAATATAGAGTTGAAAATTGGTCCATTAGTTTAGGTTATATGGCAGCCCACTTAGAGATCTCTTGGCCCATATTTGGTGATCTAAACTAATCTATATATATGTATTTATCTCCCAGCCGTTTTGGGGTGTGTGTTGTAGTAATGGAGAGGATAGTTGAGAGAAGAGAGGCAGCCGAGAGAGAGGAAAGCCATGTGAGGTTGTGAGTAAGATTTAACCATTGTGATATCTTCTTCTTCCTCTTCATACCTTTGTGGATTGCTAACACCATCATCCTTCTCCTTTTGTGGGGTCTTGAGAGAGTTTGGTCAGTCCAAAGTGAAGGCGAAAGTCTCGAGTCGAGTCGAGGTAAACTGGTGTTCTTTTGATTGTTTTCTGAGCCTGAAATCAGGATTTATTGAGGGATTTTCGCTGCAGTATAGTAATGTTATTTAGCCTCACTGGGATTGCAACCTCATTTTAGATGGCATTAATGTGACATTAATTGATAGGTAGAATTAACTAACTCATTTAATTTCACCTTTCATTTAACCAATCATCTAGTACCATCTAGACTGAGATTGTAACTCCAGTGGGACTATAAATCATTATTCTTATTTTTATTTGAAGGTTTGAAACTTGCACAATTTCTATTAATGGGTGACTGCAATACTTGAACTCAAAAATGCAAATGCTTTGATATCATGTTAAACTACCTCATCTAAATGATGTGCTTCGACTTAAAAAAATCTTAGACAGCCAAATATTTGAATGATATTGAAATATAATTAAACACAAGCTTGAGTTCTATATGTTAAAACTCATTTTCAACTACATTTATTCTAAATAAATAATTTTGTACTTTTTACAGAATCTATTCTAAAAATTCAAATGTAAAATAGAGCTGCCTAAGGCTCCATATTTAGGTAAGACGACGCTAAAATTTTATGGATCAAAATCTAATTAACTGCAGAAATGCTACATGTTTACGGAACAGAATCTCCGATAAAAATTTCTGAAAGTTTTTTCTT